AGTTGTTATTTTATATAACTTTGTAATGCGATTGTATTAGTTAAGATAACTCACTAATATCTAACTGTAGATATGCAAAGATAAGGATGTGAAGCCTAGGAAGTGGGAATATATACCGTCGATTAAAGGGTATAATGGCTCCTATAATAATTCATATATACATTCATAATGCTATACTGAATCCTTATGGTTGTAGTTATATTGAATAATTGTTTAGTTTTGATACACTTTATTGTTTTATTTTTGTGTATAGTGCCTACATTGTTAATATCGGTGATTTGCTGGAGCGTTGGAGCAACTGCTTATTCAAGTAATTACATTTTGTTTGAGCTTAGTTTTTCTAAGACTTTTTGCACATGTTTCTTTATGCAAGTAGAATTTTTCCTCGTTATATTTTTTTTTTCCTATTGTTTTTATCGTGTAGATCCACATTGCATCGGGTAATTGGGAATGGTCACGAACGATATTCCGTAAGTCTGTTGCAAATCCACATCCACATATATCTTTACAATTGATTTGTGTGACCCACGCGGTTATTGTGGTCTAAGTTTTCGCCATATGCTTGAACGTTGTCACTATTTCCCTACAATAACATATTTAAAAGTTATATTACACCGAAACTGTATATATACCTAAAGTTTTCTTATCGTAGATACCATTTTTCGTGGAACCAAGTCACGAATGTATAGTGGAGTGTCTTCCTACCTGCCAGTCCGAAAACAACCTTCCCAAGTAAGGCGTTAGCATCTTTACCTTTTTACATTAAGACCATCAAACAAATATATTATCTTGAAGATGATTGTGGTTGTGTTTAATGAATAGATATCCGGCGATCAAATGTTCAACGCACCTCACCCAACGTTACAAGGAAGCACATGTGGATTTGAGCATTTACGAAAAGTAGATCCAAGTGATTTAATAGTCCATGACTAATGCTTTAATACATGTATGTTTATTTTTTCTCTTTTTATCACAAAGGAATTGCTCTTTAATTTGTCCTGTTTCCTAATATACACCACCGTGAAAGAAAGGATCCAGAATAAAGCGTACCTATCTATCACTGATTTATATAATAGATTGTGTATCTAATAAGACGTGACGAAATAGTAAGCAGTTGTATGCAATCGTCAAATGAACAAATTAAAGCTGTTATAGAATATAATTCTGTATGACGAAATGATGAGCTAAAGTTGTAGAAAGATTATTATTCGTATTTAGAATAATAGATCCATCTTTTAGAGTAGTATTCATTTTAAATTCATGCATAGGCATAATCAAATATCAGTTTGTGACAGTGATTTATTTTAAGAAAATGATTGTTAGCTACATACACAAAGAATACGCCACCCCATGGCTATATATCTAAACAAAAATGATGTATTAAAAACTGCATTAGCTATATGAATCATATAATAACATCACTGAACTACTATTTTTATGTTGTTAACTTCTTCAACAAAGTATTTATAGCCATAATAGTGTATTGAACTCGTAACCCGGAAATTTTCGATTATGTTTTAGCATATTTTAACATGTTGTAACATTTTTTTGATGTATAACATTGCATTTTAAAGTTTAATCCATATGTGTTCATTGATATCACCATTTTCTTTTTCTCTGAGGAGCTTCCCTTCCGATCTTATGTGGAGGAGTTTGATAATTTCTAAATTTAGTAGTTATAACTAAAATAAATTAAATTTTAGAAAATACGATGTTTATTAAGCTAAAATCAACATTTTATTTAGATAATAATGCTTTGAATAAATCTTTAATTCAAATGGTGTTCAGAAAATCTTTAATTTAAATAATATTATAAATTTATAAAAAGAATACTGAAGTTAAAAAAAATAAGGTAAGTTTTCAAATTTCATAAATAAAAGATATTAATTATAAAATAAAATACAACAAGAATTGTTTTACAGAAAAAATGAAAATACAGTAGAGAAAAACATACATTTATCATTAATTTTTAATTAAGAAATACATTGAAAATGGTTTACTACGAAACCAAAAAAAATAACACTTAATTAGTCTATTTGGTTGCACAGAAAAAAATATTATATAAAACCAACTTTCACTTTCTACGAACGTACATAAATGTATTCCAATAGGTATGCAGGGTCTCCAACACGCATTCTATTGATAAATTTTAAGTTTCTAAGAAAAAAACAAATAACATCTTTAATCATTTAGGAAGCATTATACTTGATAATTCAATTTAACTAACATACATAAATGTTCTAAAACAAGAATCCGAGTGAGTGATTACTATGATCCGGATATATGTTGTTTATGATTAAAAACTAATATGTTTTTTTCCGAAGAACTATAAAAAATCAATCTAAGGATAAATAAATTAAAAGCCAACATCTAAAAATCATTATGTTTCTTTGGAAATACAATTAAAAATAAATCTAAGGATACATAGATTAAAAGCCAACATCTTTCTAATTTACAAGAGAAGAACCATTGCGACTTTGATTTCAGTTTTGATTGCGATTTGAGTTCTCGTTTTGAAGTGATATCTATACAACTTGCAAAGGCGTAAGTAGGAGAACTTGCTTAAGAAGTTCCTACGTGACCGAAGAGTCAATAGGGTCAAAGAGTTAACAGTGTCCTGGTCGTACACGCGAGTAGGGACACTTCTTAGAATCTTCCTTTTGATTTAGTCGTGGCCACGAATCGAGCCATTGATCTTTTCTAAAGCCTACAATAATAAACAATTAATAGATATTGACTCGTTTACTTTTTATGGTCATATGATAATTGGATTCATCGTAAACTCCTACTACCTCCGTTCCATAATATAAGATGTTTTAGAGAAATTTTGATGTTCCAAAATATAGGATGTTTTGATAGTTTTAAGGTACTTTAACTTTATTAAAAATTGATTGACCAATAAGATTTTACTGTATTATTTATGATTGGTTTATCCACCATAAATATCTATTATTATTTGGTAGAAAGTAAGTTTCTTGATTCTTGTGTTTTTGGTAAAACATCCTATATTATAGAACGGAGGTAGTATTAAGTTTCTATATATAGGGAAATCTTAGCAATTGCAATTGTCATCAAGAAGCTTCAACGTCTCAAATCATCTCTCCTCTCTGTCTCTCTTTTTAAAATATATCTAAAAGTTCTGAAGCCCTTAATTTTTCTTGAGCCATGACTGCGCAGGTACATCTTTTCTTTCATATATTATCTCTCAAATAATTAATAATATTTAGTTTAACTGATGGTTGATTAATCACTATATATATAAGCTAATCAATCGATCATACTTAAAATAATATATATATATATATAAATTACAATTAGCCATACTGATCTCCATTTAAAATGGCAGAAATCTGTGTTGCAACTGAGTGTTCACGAGGAGAGGATTAGAAAGAAAGCGTGGAAGACCGTTTCTAAGTTTTCAGGTATCTTCATAATTTCAAATTTACGATAATTATGATGATTATTTTTTATAAAGTTGGGAGAATAAACAATTTTTCATATTTTGTTTCATTTTTAGGTGTTACTTCGATAGCAATGGATAACAACACCGGCAAAATGACGGTGGTGGGAGAAGTTGATGTACCGAAACTTGTAAAGAAGCTAAGGAAGATATGTACGGCAGATATCGTTTCGGTAGAGATTGTTAAACCACCTGAGAAAAAGGAAGAGAAAAAGGAACCGGAGAAACCGAAACAACCCGAGGTTATTGCCCACCCGGTTACCTATTGGACCAACCAATACCAATATCATCCTGCTTCATATGCAAGTGCTTACTATCCACCATGTGAGTATTCTAGAGTTGTGGTGGAAGAACCAAGGCCTTGTGTGATTATGTAATTTTTCCTAGAATTATTTCAGATAATATTAGTTATGTTTGCATTTAATTTTGATGGAAGAGTGTGTTTTTCGGGTAATGTAATCTACATTTCCCGTATGACCTTGTTCGATAAAAACAGTCAACTTATGTATCATGCATGTATGACGAAGTTGATTTTACATACGCTTTATTATTATTTTTTTATATGAAAAAATAAAATCTCTTTTTTTGAAAATCAGTTTGAGAAGTTGCCGCTGGACTGTAAGAATGGATTCTCACTTCGGAGTTAGATTCTGCCATATTTATGATAATATCTATAAAATGATTAAATATTTTGAATTATCAATCTGCAATGTAAATAAAGATGATAAGATATTTTACGTATCATCTTAATACGCCAAAATAAACTTACACGATAAACCAAGAATTAGAAAAGTTAAAATCAAATCAGCGGTCTTCATGCTTTTCCAGGAAGTTCAGTAAAATGTTTTTCAATTATTGAAATTAATTTGCTATTTTGTTGTTATTGTAAAGTTTGTACCGAGGTGTCAAATCTATATACAGTAGTATGTGTTTTAACTTATGTTACAAAAGAGTTTATAACCTACAACGGTCCGTGGGATAAATAAATACTACATGTAAACAAAATTGTGGTCAGTTACGTAACAATGTTTGTTTAAAAATATTTGTTGAAGTGTTACTGTAACAATAAATACTACTCAGGATCCGACTGGTTCAAACGTAGCGGTTGCGGTTATAGGAGTTTGTGGATGCGGATGATTGCGGGTTTAAGCCTTATTAAGCGTCCTGTATAACTGGCGCAATGTTTAGAAATTGTTAGGATTACGCTCGATACAAAGGATGGCTTCAACAGCTTGGTCATCGGCATCAATCATCTCCATGATTGTGTTCAACTCCACATTACTTGTTTCCTGAAACAAATTAAACTTGCCACCTAAGTTTCAATAAATAAATAATTAACCTAGAAGACATGTGACCTGATATACAAAAATATTCTTGTAGTACCATGATATCAATAAATAAATAATTCACTTAAAAGAATCCAATGAAAACTATTCTCAAACAAAAACAAAAGAAGACACTTATTGTCATAACTACAATGTAATTATGAAAACACAATTCCCATGAAAAGAACTACTAAAGCTAATTATCAAAGAAGTCGTTACGAGACTCCTATAATTTGACGTTTCAAAAAAGATAGTTTCTCATCATTAGGAAGAGTCAGAAATAAGCCTCGCACAACATCATTTGTTGCAATAAGGTCAAGTGATGCCCAATATAGCTCTGTCATGGGAATTAGATCAGGTACTTCCCTCACACATTTGACAACAAGAGCCATACGTTCCTCAGTTGAATTTGTTGATTGGGTCTTAGATGTAGATGATGCCATCTGTTCTAGAATACCATTCCGGTCTTCCATGGTTGCAGCAATTCGATCGAGTGTGGAGTCCATTGGATTGCACTTACGCTTTCGACGAGATGTATCTTTCATTTGAGATCTCTCAGTTGCATTTTGTTGTGACATCGTTGCAGGATCTGTCTCGGTCACATTTGGAGTATGGTTCATAGGAGTTTGTAACCAGTCTGGATCTTCTTGTTCCCTTTGATCAAGATCATGGGAATCATTTTCCATCTGAATTTCTCCTTCATCACTTAACTCAATTCTTGGAGTACGATGATGTACACCACGTCTTGGTTGCCATGACTCCTTAACCACGACATTTTCATCTCGAAATACCACGTCAAGAAGCGATATAAAACGCAATGGATGTGAGCGAAGTTTTGAAACTTTGGGGTAAGCCTTAGAAACCAAAAAAAAATAGTCATTAAAAACCAATTTTTAAAAGAGGAATTAACGCAAGATGAAAACATGACTTTTCGTGTACCTTAATTTTGTCTTTCTACCAATGCTCAGGTGCATCGATACTGCATGTTCTACTGTTAAATCCAAGACCAGTGGACCCAAACGTGATTCTACGGTAGATTTCTTACTGCCTTTTCAAAATGTCAAATCTGTTTTTGACTTTGTTCCAAGTGAGAGTAATCAGAAATTGTTTTTTAAATTCTTTGATAACGTTTTGTTTTCCCTACTCACTCAAGCTTTTGCCTTCAGAATCTCCATCTTGTTTTTCCAACGTTATTAGTTCTAGCAAGAAACGAGTAATATCGTCCGACTATTGGATTTTCTATTCAAACATCAGTTGAAACATATATACAATTACAAAAACACACCAATATATAGATATGAATCATGTTCTCACGATTCATAAAATTTGAACAATGAAAACATATCACGAATCATCAAAAAAATAAAGTGATAGTGGAAAAATCATAATTACTTAGTTTGTGTCGTGAGTTTCATCTTGTGTGGATGCCATGATCTCGATGTAGAGAAACTGAGAATTAGGGTTAATGTCGAATGTAAATCGTCAAATAGATATAAGGTTAATTAAAAAAAAAAGAATTAGCTTGCACGTTAGTTTAGGATATAAGTAAATTTTAGGATATATGTAAATTTTATTTAAAGTAAAATATTTTTTATATCCAATCGTAACCGTCCACAATCGTAACCGTCCACAATCGTAAACGCTTGCGGGAAGGAGTTTTTTATTTTGAGCGATACAAAGTGGTTCGATTTTTGTGAATGTTTCGAAACGCTGTCAACCGCTAGCAACCGCAAAAGCTACGTTTATGGGTGGTAGCGGGGAAATCAGTCGGACCTTCAATTAGTCATTTAACATAAACATAATAAATATCCAAAAATCTTTACGCCATGTATGTGTCTCTTCGTCATTATAAATGTAATGCTTTTGTCATATTTCCTAAGATACACCACTGTAAGAAGAAGGATCACCGTGCAGCTGCACCACGAGCTGCAGTCGTGGTCGGTGGTCATCACATGGTTCCAAGCCAAATTAGTGGTTGCTTGGGAGAGAAGAAACGTGGAGAGAGAGTTTATGCACCGATGCATGAGTAAGCTTTGGGGGTTGTGATATCCAGGCCCGGCCCTAAAAATGATTGCTGATTGGTTATCAGATTCATCATCACGATTTCAAAGAAGATGAATGAAAGGATTCGTTGCAATAGAGACATCTCACGCTGATAAAGAGGAAATATCAGCTAATTCTATGTTGATATGTCACTAGTGCTGATTGCTGAAGAAAGACAGAGTCATGGTGAAAATTTTCATTGAATGGAGATGGTTTCAAGAATCTGAATTTATGGAGTAGAAGTTAATCTCTAGTCTATTTATCAAAAAAAAAAAGTTAATCTCTAGTCTTTCTTGGTGATGGAGCGACTATGATTGTTAGGATCAAGAAGGCTTAAAAATGGGTCAAGCACAAAGAAGAAAGACTGCATTTTGTGTTTTTGTTCAAAGCTGTTGTGAAGTGGATGTTCTAACAAGCTAAGAGTTGGTTTCTGAGTGAGAAGACTAAGATCATTCAATACGAGGTTGTGGAATCAGATTCAAACGATCGACCTTAAGACTCATAAACGAATACACATGAAATAAATTATTTAAAACATCATGATCTCATCTTATAATGATTAAAAATCAATTTCAACAAGGCCACATAAAACAAACAAAAATATTTAATCTATATTAGTGACTAAGTCGAAAGCAAAGGTTTCAACACTTAGATAATTAGTATATTAGGTTGCACAAAATAACAAAACAAAACGATAACAGTCTACTCTAACATATTTGTCAAAAAATTAAAACAGTCTAAACAATATATAAAAACCACCTTCGCTATCTATGAACGTACCTAAATGTATTCCGATTTTGGGTATGCTCTCCAGCAAAAAAATTATTATTGGTTATGTACTTATGTTTCTTTAATCTTTTTTTTATCCTTAATCATCTTTATTTAAGCAACACACAGACAACATTCTAAAAAAAAAATCCAAGTGGATGATTGGTTGAGTAGTACCATGGTATGCTCCACATTTATGTTTTCTTATGATTCAAAAAATAAGCAATCTAAGGACATAAAGAATAAAAGCCAACATCAGTAAATTTATAAGAGAGAACCATTGTGACTTCAATTTCAGTTTTGATTGCGATTTGAGTTATCGTTTTGAAGTGATATCTATACAACTTTCAAAGGCGTTTAGAGAACTTGCTTAAGAAGTTCTAACGTGACCGATGAGTCAATAGAGTCGAAAAATTAATAGTGTCCTGGTCGTACACGCGGCCTTATGAGTAGTGACACTTCTTTGAATCTTCCTTTTGATTTAGTCGTGGCCACGAATGGAGCCATTGATCTTTTTTTAATGCCTACAACAATAAATAATTAATAGATATTGACTCGTTTACTTCTTATGGTCATATAATAATTGGATTCATCGTAAACTCCTATTAAATTTCTATATATAGGGAAATCTTAGCAATTGCAATTGTCATCAAGAAGCTTCAACGTCTCAACTCATCTCCTCTCTGTCTCTCTTTTTAAAATATATCTGAAATTTCTGAAGCCCTTCTACAGTTTTTCTCGAACCATGACTGCGCAGGTACATCCTTTCTCTCATATACTCTATCTCTCGAAATAATTAATTATATTTAGTTTAACTGAAAGTTAATTAATCATTATATGTAGAAACTAATCAATCATACTTAAAAAAAAAGATATATAAAATACAATTAGCCATACTGATCTCGGATTTAAAATGACAGAAATCTGTGTTGCAACTGAGTGTTCACGAGGAAAGGATCAGAAGAAAAGCGTGGGAGACCGTTTCTAAGTTTTCAGGTATCTTTATAAATTTCAAATTTACGATAATATGATTATTATTTTTATAAAGTTGGGAGAATAAACATTTTTCGTTTCATTTTTAGGTGTTACTTCGATAGCAATGGATGATAAAACCGGGAAAATGACGGTGGTGGGAGAAGTTGATGTACCGAAACTTGTAAAGAAGCTAAGGAAGATATGTACGGCAGATATCGTTTCGGTAGAAATTGTTAAACCACCTGAGAAGAAGGAAGAGAAAAAGGAACCGGAGAAACCGAAACAACCCGAGGTTATTGCTCACCCGGTTACCTATTGGACCAACCAGTACCAATACCATCCTGCTTCATATGCAAGTGCTTACTATCCACCATGTGAGTATTCTAGAGTTGTGGTGGAAGAACCAAGGCCTTGTGTGATTATGTAATTTTTCCTAGAATTATTTCATATAATATTAGTTATGTTTGCACTTAATTTTAATGGAAGAGTGTATTTTTGGGTATTGTAATCTACATTTCCCGTATAATCTTATTCGATAAAAACAGTCAACTTGTGTATCATGTATGATGAAATTGATTTTTGGATGCTTTATTATTACTTTTATTTCGGGTCATGCAGTAATCATTAATCTTTTTTTCTCGCGGCTTCATTCAAGTAGACTTTTCTTTCTTATGTTAAACATGTACTTTTAGCTAATACTAATTCAAATATGTTGGGAGGGATTAGTTGAATCGGTTCATAACTGAATAAAAATGCAAATACATATATTTATACACAGTTTTTTTTTATTATTAATCTAGCATACCCTGAATCTATAAAAAACTCAAACTAATTCATAATAGAAAGTGTACTCCAAGTATATTTACATATAGCTATGTAGTTATGTCGCTTTTCAAATGATTTGTTTGCATCTAGATTTCTACATAATATGTAGTTAGTTTATATATTCGACTGTACAAAAATAGAAAAATGAAAAAAAAGAGTCAATATCAAAAGTCTTCTTTAATAAAAAAAGCAAATTAAGGTAAAATACAAAAGTCTACATTGACTTGAGGGTTCCACATGTCGAATGAGGCTTACGAGGACATTTCGTTTCTTGACCCAGTGATGGCAGAAAATCCAAGTCTTCTTTGAATTTTTCTTGCAAAACTAATCTAAATTATTGTATATAATACACAATTAAAAAGAAAATGTTGAAAGCCAATCTATTAAAAAATAGGTTACCGAAGCTTGATAATAACTTTTAAGCTAAACCTAAAAAAAAAGTTTAATACAGACTAGGTTTTCAGCATATAAAACTATTTGAAAATTAACAATTCCTTTCATAAATTATTAGTAGAATATCCCATTGATATATGTATATATATATATATATATATATGAATGAAATATTTGATGTCAGCGTACTGGTTATTCTACATGGGATATTCACCATTTTCATTAATTATGTTTTCTCTATAAATGTCAAAATAGTCACAACTATGCAATAAGGCAATAAATCTAAACGTGAAACCTGGGACACGCTGAAACTTTAGCTCGGGTGTACTCCCATTTTGGAACGAAAGATTTTTTTTTTTTGGAACACTAGGACGAAAGATTGTTTTAAACTCAAAATATGTAATGGTTGATTCTGCGTATAGAAGAAGAAGGGTCCAAGATCTAGAAATCCCACAAAATAAAAAACTATATGTATTTTGTCATCAAAATTATAGAATAGCATGTTAGTAACATGATGTTACCATCGCATGATCTCGATCGGTGTCACTTTCATTATTAACAACGATTACTAAAACTCCTCAACTTGTATTAGTTATGTTTCGCCTTGCCTTGCCAGCATTTGGATAGTGAATGTTTTGTCTCGTTCTCATAGAAATCATACTTTTATCTGAAACTGAGATTAAGCAAATCAGCACATACATTGAGTTGGCCACATGATATGGTCCCGACTCATGATTCACGAATAGAAAACAAATGCTCATACATCTAATCTATTAATTTAGGGATTGATTTTTATCTACTACTTAAAATTGTCATTTAAATTTGGATTTTTTCATAGTTGTTACTAGAATATATCATGTCTCCTATAAAATACAATCTACCAACTTAAATTAAACCAAATCTTAACCGATGTATATCAATTGAATTTAACTAATTACATCTTTAAAGTATTTTTAGTTATCTCTTAATCTATACTATTATTTGCGAAGTGATTTTTCGCAACGGATCTCTCACGTTAAAAGTTGGAGTTGTTAATATCGATTATACCCTTAATGAAACTTTTATATATAACTAATTTTATAATTAAAAACGAAATTTAAAAAATTAGATTAGTATGTTATTATCTTAGATAACTTAGAATAATTAATATAATAAGTTTATAAAAAAATCAAAAATAAGATAATTCTTATATATGTTATTATCATCTAAATATAAATACTATTATTTGCGAAGTGATTTTTCGCAACGGAGCTCTCACGTTAAAAGTTGGAGTGGTTAATATCGATTATACCCTTAATGAAACTTTTATATATAACTAATTTTATAATTAAAAACGAAATTTAAAAAATTAGATTAGTATATTATTATCTTAGATAACTTAGAATAATTAATATAATAAGTTTATAAAAAAATCAAAAATAAGATAATTCTTATATATGTTATTATCATCTAAATATAATATTGTAACAACATGATAATGCTTATATATCTTACCTTTAATGAAATTTATATATTTATATATAAACTAGTTAAAAGTGAATTTTATGTTAGTGATAGAAATTTATATGTTATTATATTAGTTAATTTATTATAAATTAATAGGATAATTATCTACATTCATGCATATTTAAAACATAAGATATCTTAGAGAATATTATACAATTATCTGGAAAATATTTTTTATTATGAAAAATAAAAATTTAGTTATAAAAAAATTTAAAATTAAATATTAAGAAAAAATATAAATATATTTTCAAAATATTTTATTATGTGGATGTTTTTCAACACTATAATAAGCATATGGATTTTGATGAAAATTCATATAAAAATTATTTTAATGATTCATTTAGGTTTTTTAAAACTATAAAAATAACTTATAATATTATTTTAAAATTAATAAAATAATAAATAATAAATATTCGTAAGAAAATTATGCCCGCATATGCGGGCACAACACCTAGTATAAATAAATTGTACAAAACTGAATCATAGGAGAAAAATATCCAACTGTTTTTCAACAAAGATTAATAAGAGGTTCAACATATTATATATATGTCAAATATATATATTACAGAAACATATATATAATACTATATACACATATTATATATAACATATATTAAAAATAAAATTTGACAAAATAATTTTCGCCCTTTAGGACGGGTTAGAATCTAGTTAATACATATTTAAAACATTCTATTTTTTTTTGGTCAATCTAAAACATACTAATTAATTGTTTGAATTTAAGCATTTAATAAAATGCTTAAAAACAAGGCCCATACAAAGAAAACCCAAAATATTCAATAAAGGCCCATACTTAAGCCCATTTAAAAAATCTCGCTTTCGTAAAAGTATGAGTTTGACACTGTAAACACAACAAACAAACCTTCTGAGATTTCGCCGGCGAGAGAAGAGAGAGAGATCCATCGATCCAACGGTTAAGATGTTCCTTCGATCAATCGGACGGCCACTACTGGCCAAAGTGAAGCAGACGACGGGGATCGTGGGTCTCGACGTCGTACCGAACGCAAGAGCGGTGCTGATCGATCTGTACAGCAAAACCCTAAAGGAGATCCAAGCGGTGCCTGAGGACGAAGGATACCGTAAAGCGGTGGAGTCGTTCACGCGCCACAGGCTCAATGTGTGCAAGGAGGAAGAGGATTGGGAGGCGATTGAGAAGCGGCTTGGGTGTGGTCAAGTGGAGGAGCTGATTGAAGAGGCGCAAGATGAGCTCACACTTATTGGGAAGATGATCGGTGCGTAAGATCTTTCTCTTTTCTATTATCATTTCGATTCATTTGGTGTTGGAATCTGATTTTGTGGATGAGATTTTGAGATTAGAATTGCAAAGTGTGAAACTTTGAGGTGTAGATTTGGGCTTTGTGTTGGTTTAGGGTTCTTTGTTAGGGAATAAAGTGTGTAACTTTGAGGTGTAGAGTGATTTGTTTTAAACAGAGCATTGCAAAGGTGTCCTCTTTAACGGATATCAAGCTAAGTGAAAGTAAGTATTTGTGAAAAAATGTAAGTAAAGGAATGTGAAAATTCAAGGTTTTTGTATTGTTTGATAACTTAGGGGTGTGGGTGAATGTTTGTGTAGTTTGCTTAATTTTGGAACGGTTTTTGCTTCAGTGTCACATAGGTTTGGTCATGTTCTAAACCTGTATATGCTTGTTGAAGCTCTTTTTTTACTTTTATGATCCGTAGTGAGGTTTCAGGCATCTTATCCTCTTTTTATCTAATGTAACCGTCTTTTTGTAGAAGTAGATGTTGTTTGAGCTCCTATCACATTCTTGTGTTGATTTTTTTTTATTTTTTCATCTTTATCGGCTATATCAAGCTAGTGGAAAGAAAGTATGAGTTGAAATTAATGATCATTGAGATTTCAAGTTGAAACTGAAATGCAAGTAAGAGAATGCAAAAGTCAAGATTTGCTAACTTAGGTGTGCGTATGGGTGAAAGTTTGCGTAGTTTACTTACGCTTGAAAAGGTTTTTGCTTCAGTGTCATATTGGTATGGTCATGTTCTAAACCTGTATATGCTTGTGAATGTGTCTCTCCTTTGACCTTCATGATCCTTTAAGTAACGAGGTTTCAGGCATCTTATCTTCTTCTTATCTAGTGTAACCGTCTTTTTTCTAGAAGTAGCTATTGTTTGAGCCTTTTTATATACTAGTGTTGACTCTTTATGGTATTTTTGTCCTGATATTTCCCTTTTTACAGATACTTTCTTGATGGAAAGAAAGTATTGAGTTTATTCTTGGTCATTTCAATTTCATGATGAAATTGAATTGCAAGTAAGGTAACGCAAAAGTCAAGCTTTTGTAAAGTTTGCAAACTTAGGCGTATGGGTGAAAGTGTCAAATAGGATTGGTCATGTTCTAAATCTGTATATGCTTGTGAAATCCATCTTTTATCCTTTAAGTGAGGTTTCACAGGCATCTTATCTCTACTTATTGAGAAGTGTAGCCGTCTTTTGTAGAAGTAGTTTTTGTTTTAGCTATGTCACATACTTCATACTTGTGTTGACTAGAATTTATGGACCCTTTTGTTCTGAGTTTGCCCATTTTACAAATACGTTCTTCACCATGGGGTCTTAATTCGTTTGATGTGCATTTGCAGAATGGGACCCTTGGGGTGTTCCAGATGACTACGAGTGTGAAGTAATTGAGAACGATGCACCAATTCCAAAGCACGTTCCACAGCACCGACCTGGTCCTCTCCCTGAGGATTTCTACAGAACCCTTGAAGGTCTAATTTCAGATTCCAAAACAAAAATCCCAGCTGCTGCTACCTCCACTGATCCTCAGTTGAAGGAGTAACTTCCATTTTTCACATTGTTTGTTTGTGTACTTTGTTTGGCTACTGTTCAGAGACAGCGAGCCTCTGAATAAACTGCTTAATAATCTTGAAAACTAGCACAATGTTTACTCTTTTCATAAATGTTTTATCTTTCTTCTCAAAGACAAGCCTATGATAATACAAATGATGTTTCATCCCCTTTGCAAGAGTATTTACCTTTCTTAAGAACATGTATTACAGTTGTATTCTTGAGTCACGAGGGACACGGAATCATTGCAATAAACGTTTCCTTGAACCTCTATGGTATTGCTTAGTTTTGGGCTAACTCCACTTTTTCAGATTCTTCTTGTAAGTATGCCAAAAGAATGTAGAAGCCTTGTGAAAATGGTGCAAGTCTTAAGCATTGTGAGCCATATCTTCATCCTAAGATAGATTCCCATGGTGGCTACAAGCTCTTAACAATTTTTTGAAGATAAGAGCATTTGGTCTCGACGGAATTGTTCTACCTGTGGCTTTATATTTTGAAATTTCTATTACCCATCTCTCTCAATCTTACGTTACTACAAGCAGAAAGCAAATATGTGAAACTTTACTGAGGCAGAAAGCATTTAGTGTCATTTCGTGCTTAACCAGCTCGTTAAACCTCGGAACAAAGCTTGTGCATTTGATATTATCTGTCTTGTCCTGACCTTGCCACGTTCCAAGCGTAAGCCATCTCATCCATGAATCTCGTATACCTGCCTGATAGATTTCAGTATGCTTCAGGTTCAGAGAACACCCGGTAGAGTAACAACATTTGGTTCTACTCCTAGTCTTAGCATCTATATCAACACTTCAAAACAATTGTGTTCAAACTCGTAATGAGCTACACCTAAGATTGACGTTGTCCAAGAGACAGACGTTGTATGATGTCTAGCACTTCATATACATTATCTACAAGTGCATTTTTGACATCAGTGATGTCCTCCGAGCTGACCTTAATTGCATGTTAAAGAGTCTTCTTCCCCTATCCACCGACTGGGGGAACACAAGATCAAGATGACAAAGTGTGTATATTTACTTAGTTTAGAATCTCATGAAATGTCGCAACCTTGGTTCTCAAGTTTCATACAAACCCTAATACCACAGACGTCCAAAGAAACACTTCCTGTTCTTCCATTTGACAGAACGATTATGTTGATATGAATCATTTTACAAATTCCAAACCGAGAAATGAATAATTTTCTCAAGCTATATGATACACGTGCAATAATTAAAACAAAATTATAATCTATAATAAATATAACTAATCTACAAAATCTAACATAGTGTTTTATGATTAGTATTCAGCATCAATTTGTTTATTTTATTAACATGTTTAGCTTATGATTAGAAATAATAAGATATTATCAAAACGTCAGTCACATGCAATGCATTCAAAGTCCCATGATATGCATAGAGACCTCGAGTAATGTAAAAGTACCTCAACTCAAAATTGCCATCTTCGTTAATAAAATATAAATATCAATCAGATATATGTCTAAATACAGATCATTTGTATTTCAGTATGTGATGATCAGCTCATTGTGCATATACATAAACAGACAGTTTGAAATTTTCGCGGGACAAACAGACTTAAGAACGACATTAAGCTAAGTTGGTCGGAGACATGTGCTCTACATTAGCATCTAATGAAAATCTCAAAAGGGGACAATCAAATCTCTTCTTCCTCTTTTTGTTTTAAGTCTAGGAAACTAAACTAAAAGAGACTGAAAGAAGTTCGTTTTGTTCTGTGTAGTATAAAACGGAGAGTGTCGCTTCTATGGTGCAACGTATTCTTCCTCTTCTGGGGCGCTTTAACATTGCACGTGTGTGGTTCTCCGGCTTCGATTGCTCCTTGCTTCCTTGTGACGTGAAATGTTCTCGACATGATATTGATTGTGTTCATTATTTATTGTGTATTAAGTGACATGATTGTGATGATTATTGTTTAGACGAAGAAAAAAAACAAAAGAGAAATGGAAGTGTTGATTATTTGTTTTTTGAGTTTCGAGCGAATCTTGTATTGTGATTCTTGTACATATAATGTTATGAAGGTAACTAATCCATTGATTCTCTGAATCATGGAATAAATAATTACATCAACCTTTGTTTTTCTTTGCGTGGTTACTATGACCGTCTTAATTCTTTATGCTTCGTCGAAGCCAAGTTCGATAGTATTATTGTGTGATACTGAAACTTTGTAGTTGTTAATATGTTTACTAAATTTATTCCATTTCCTGACGAATAATCGCTTTATTATTCATTCTCTATGTTTTAGTCTCTGTTTTGTGCCACTTATTCTCGTGACCTAGATCAAATGAACTATGCAAGGTTTGGTTACAATTTTTTTTTAAATGATGGATATTCAAAAAAATATATTACAGTAATTTTTTCTCTTGAATCGGATCAGGCCAATATTTGACTCATCCAATTATACACACCTCAAATTACACATTCTAACAAAATGCACCGGAACTATATGTGCTATGTCAATTGGATTGTTTTGAGGGAGAAAAAGAATGAGAAAAGGAACTTTAATAAACTAATGACAAACTTGGTTGATTGAAATACTTATAGTAACTAAATCAATTGATATTTATGGCCGGTCCTCCACTATGTTCTTTTTGGTACCTTTTCCAAATATGAGGATTGGGGATGAATTTAAAGAAACTGAAAAAGTTACAAAGAGAGAAGTAGGTCAAATATTCATTCGAGTAGTTATCATCTCTGCCTAGACTTTTAGGCCCAGCACATTTGAGTCTCTCTACCTACAACAATTTCACACCATCGATCTCTCACTATCTCTCTTTTATTCCGAAAAAAATAAGACATACCATATTTAACATACGTTAAAGAAAAAAGATGACCATATACTTTTTAATGTCATAAACAGATCACTTTTGAATATGTATTGACATTAACGTAAGAATTATTGACATGTTTCTCAAGTTAATATGGTTCATACACGGTGGCAGTTTCCTTGTAACTTGAAGGATTGGTAAACTAAAATATAAAATCCCGAAAAGTGAAAGTAAGTAACGAGGCGGAAAATAAAATACTAATATAAGCATGAGTGGATATGGAGGAGGACACGATGGCCAGAGCTTGAAACGAACGCCAAACTGAAGTGGAGAAGTTGCAGAAATTTATGAAACGCGTAAAGATGTTTGTATAATGATGTGTTTCTCTTTCAACACAAGCATGTATCTCTCTCACACAGCCCCATATACATGAATGTCATCACTCTTGTTGAAAGTTCATATTCACATTTATTATCCACCTAACTGGTACTCAATGAGTCCAAACATTATATTTCTACTATCACCAAAAGTTACCCAACAACAACCCATCTCAGTAATTTAGCTTTGACTGGTTCCATTGTTTAATGGCTCCCCTGGTGGCTCTACGTACCCATCTATATGCGAGCCTTCTCACGCTTTCTTTTTAGCGTGCTTCGAAGACCACGTGGTCTTTGTTAAAAGATCATTCTTTCTTATTTTGTTACTTTTGTTCTGTAATATTAATAGGAAGGAAGGCTAGAATATGATTTGAGTTGAGCGTGTTTTACGAAATGAACATATTTACTATTTTTGTGAAATGAATATTTTTATGCCAATACTCAAGAAAAGTAAAACCCTAACAGCAACCTAAAATCCACTGAATTTGTTGAAATGGCTTGTTTAATGTATCTTAGTTTAGTAATAAACATGTTTCTTGAGCAATAAAGGAGTTAATAACATATTTCAACTAGACACATGGTCAAACCTAGTCAATTCTTGTCGTCTCATGTTTTCTGGTTCTACACCCATTAATTGAGTTGTCATTGGCTAATAGCAGAATAAAATGGTCGGGAAAATGAAGTGGAAAAGAGAGGAAATATTTTTTAAAAGTTAAAAGAGTAAAATTTTCCACTTGTTTAATGTGAAGGAATTATTTACTCTAGTTATCTTCATTTTTAGAGTAAACTGGATGGAGAGTTATTTCATTTGTTTGGCAGAAAAAAAGAGAGTAAAAACTGAAATGAGAGTAATTATTTACTCTAATAGGTATATACAAACACACCTATTATTCTCTTGGACTTTAAAAGTTTGTGTTCGAACTTTGTTAGGTAGCTCTGGTCGGTTGTTGTGGTGAGATCTGAAACTCTAACTTGCATGATTCTGCTAATATCCTCAACCAATACTAAGTTAAGGATATATATATATATATGTGTCACTCGTTTTGGTCGTTTGTTAAATCAAGAGGTGGAGTATATCCCAAATTTACTACTTTTACCATTTCATAGAAAAAGATATTTAATCTAACATAGAAAGTTATGAACTTATTTTTAAATGCTATTATCAATAATATATATCTAAGATGAATTAACCAATTATAAAATATCATAGTAAAATATCCGTAAAACATTATTGGTCAACTAATTTTCAATAAAGTTGAAATTATTTTAAAAGTAGTAAATCATATATTTTGTAATATTGAAAATTTTAGGGAAAATTCCTTAAAAATAGACCAACTCAGTTTCTTTTGCTAAAAAAACACACTAACTTTTAGACTTCCCAAAAAATACACAGAGTAATTTTGGTTGTCCACAAAATACATGAACTTTTAAAATTTGAAGGTTTCACACCTCGATTTTAACGGCGTTAACTCCGATTAACAGAACATTTAGACGTCGTTAGACGACGTTAACTCTGATTCAAAAGTTTATGTATTTTGTGGACAACCAAAATTAGTCTGTGTATTTCCCGGGAAACCAACAAAGTTCGTGTATTTTTTCAGCAAAGAAAATTTAGTATGTGTATTTTTAAGGAATTTTCAAAAATATATTAAGGTGGCAAAGACATTGTTTTTTTTGTTTGACCGAAAAATGTAATTCTTTTTAATATATTTTGTTCATATTGAGGTCGGTTTTTCTAGGGTCAGTTCGGATCTATAACTAAAATACGTGTAAAATACCGATAATTTCGGATATGTATCATGTAATAGAGAATGTGTTTTTGTTTGGGTCTTTGGGTCGGGTTTGGGCCGGTTCTTTTCGGATCTAAGATATCCGGATTTAAGAACCGACCCAAACCCGACTGAAAGACCTGAACAAAAACACATTCTCTTCCACATGATACATATCCAAAAATTACCGATATTTTCTACGTATTTAATTATAGATCCGAACTGATCCTAAAAAAACCGGTCTCAATATGAACAAAATGAACAAAATATAAAGAAGCCAAAAAAACACATTGTTCATATTAATACACACATTGTTCAAAATATATTAAAATACCTGAGTATTAATATGAACAAAATATATTCAAAAAGAATTACATTTTTCAGTCAAAAAGAGTTACCTTAATATATTTTTGAAAATTCCTTAAAAATACATATACTAAATTTTCTTTGCTGAAAAAATACACGAACATTTTTGGTTTCCCGGAAAATACACAGAGTAATTTTGGTTGTCCACAAAATACATGAACTTTTGAATCAGAGTTAAGGTCGTCTAACGGCGTCTAAATGTTCTGTTAATCGGAATTAACGCCATTAAAAACAAGGTGTGAAACCTTCAAAATTCAAAAGTTCATGTATTTTGTGGACAACCAAAATTACTCTGTGTATATTTTGGGAAGTCTAAAAAGTTGGTGTATTTTTTAAGCAAAAAAACTCATTTGGTGTATTTTTAAGAAATTTTCCCCATAAACATATCTTGCATTATGAAATAAAAGGAAAATTATTACTATAAGGATGTAGGTAAAAAATAAATCCGAACATCGATTTATAGATTAATGGATTTTGAATGATGAGAGATTGAAGAGAGCAAAATTATACTGCTCCATATTGAGGTCAAGATGATGAATATTAGCAGTGCCGTCAGATTTCATATAGATTTTCTTGGAAAGTGGGCAAGTGTCTGTCAAGTCACTTCCAAAAGCACAAGTGAGGATATTTTCCATTAATATAAATATTTCTTTCTAACTTTTAGAAATTTTAATAAAATTTTGCTAAACTGAAAAAACTGTTTTGCAGTTTAAAAGGAATATAACCAGGAACATGCAAATTCAGTATTATTCTGAATTTATATCAATGTGATAGTTATGTCAAAATGCATAATCATATGCATCAAGAACGTTCAGTTTTCAATATTGAACCTTTGTACTCTATTACTCCCTCTCATAATAATATGGTAATCAAAATCTCAAAGCAACAGTTCTCTACTTAAGTAAAAAAATATTTCTAGCTCATTTCTGTGAAAATTAACCATGGTAAGATTGTGAGATGTGTGACAGACGAGGACGACAGAGATATGTAATAAACATTAGTATTACTATTTTTCATTTCTCTAGGTGTGTCAGGAATCACATAATGATCCATCACTGTACAAAGGCTAAAACGAGACCCTTCACTAATCTGAAACACTACTGAATCCTGCAACAAAATTTCCCTGTTTTGCCATGATCATCGTCATTTAAACTTTTTAAAACTATTTTTAAAAAGAAACTAAAATTCTTGTCTTCTAAATTCTTATTACAAAAAAAAAAAACTAATCGCTAATCTTCTCCATTTGTTCCTTGATTGAAGTCAGGTTATCGAACGATTTCTCCGAAGACATTGATTCGCTTGATAATCTTGAAAACAAATACGAATCTACAAAAATAAACACAATAAGAATTTTAATTAGCATTTTCGGATATTTCATATTTATCCTTAACTAAATAAAATAATTAAAATACATAATTTACCTTCAGACGACGAAGTACTGAGTTTCTCTAGTGAAGAAGATTCACTGCTAGATCGCGGTAACAAATAAGATTCTGACCCGTGAAAAGATTTCTTGCAATGAAGAATCGCACTTTGAATCCCATCTTGTTGCATCTGTAAAGACTCGTCAACCCTCTTCGCCGGAGACATCACTCCGACTGTCGCAGACGCCGACCGGCTCTTCCAAAGCCCTGACGGTTTATTATTCCTCTGTTTCTCCCTCGCCGTCGTCGGTGAAGACGCCGGAGATGTCGTTACACTATTGACACTCTGTTTCTTGGTTGTTTTGTATAAAGGCTTTATGAGATCAAAGAATCTCTTTGAGGAAGAAACAGAGGAAACAGGGGAAACAGAGTCGTCTAAGAACATCGTGTCGGTTTTGAGCAGTGATTTCGAAATGGGGGTCGTTTTTCTGAAGCTTGTAGCTGCTGTTTCTTGCTTCTTGAAGGAGAAAGCACGAAACTTTCGACCGGAGTTTAGTGGAGTGGTCGGAGATTGAGGTTTTGAAGTGGTTTCGACGAAAGGGATGACTTTGCTTTTAGAGACAGAGAAAGTTGTCTGTTTTTCGTCGTGGGTTTTGTTTTTCTTTAAGGAGAAGTCGGAGAGAGAGATCTCGAGCTCGAAGAAGGAATCATCTCCGTCGCAGAGTTCAAATTCGGAATCTTCTAATGCTGGTGAGGATCCGACGGCGGATTCTGAGATTCTGGTTTCACGGCGGGGTTTATTGTTCGTTAGCCAGAATTTCATAAAGGTGAGAGCTTCCATTTAGAAAGAGAGAGGGAGGGAGAGAGAAGTACAGAGAGATTAGAGATGAAAGAGTAAATAGCTGCTTGCCTTTGTCAACGGGAATGGGCATGATGTAAGGTTTTAAAGGAAGAAGAGAAGGTGGGCTTTTCGAAATAAATCTTTTTATTAATTTTTTTAGTAAAGAGAGAAAAAAGTTAAATGAAAATGGCATTAAATTGTTTTTTTTTCAATTAGTGATTTTCTTTACTATTTATTTTCGTTCCTTTCTTTGGTTCTTTTTTCTCTTTTATTTTTCTTTTTTTACTTTTGCTTTATTATTTTTATCTTTACATGCACATGCTAAAACATTTGTTCCATCTATTGTCTTCATTTGTTTATCATTAGAACCACAACATATATGGTAGTAGCTTTTGTAAGCTTAAAGTGCTTTATTTTGTTGTTTTTTTGCTGTCAAATAAAAATATTTACATTTCAAACAATGAATTATATTTACAAAGAAGAGCAAACTAACCAAATAAGAAGAACTTTAAATATTGGAAAAACTTGGTTAATCACAATAATATTGATAAAAGTACATTAGCCAAAAAAACATAACTAAAATATAGTAGTGATCATTAAGGATGGCTTATTGGATTGATGATTTAGAGAATTTCAGTTTTTATCTAAATCTCTCCCTTTTTGTGCACAAAACGATTGCACTAATAGTTAAAGATGGCTACATTAAAAAAAAAAAAAAAAAAAAAAAAAAAAAAAAAAAAAAAAAAAAAAAA